AGCATGGTTGACTATATAAATATTAACTTTGTACCATGAATGTGATTGCCTCTTGAATTCTTTTCTTCTGTGCTCTTTTGGAGACGATGCCCAAGAACGATGTATTCTTACATTACAATTGTGTTTCAGTGCACTAATCAGCATCATTTGTCAGGGTTCAAATGACGTTGAGAAACAATATTTTATGTGTTTTAGCTTTTAAAACCAGGGCTTTTTTTCTCATAGACCGCCCAGAAAGGAGTTCTGGCACCATTTTTGGATGGAACCTTGTAGGGTAAGCAAGGCTGGTTGTGTGACGTGTATGAGTTTTTTTAGAAAAAAAGCACTGTTTAAAACTATTTGTATTCCACTCTTATCTTGGTCAATGACTGTAATAAATATTAGATTGACTGATTACTGAGAGAGAAGAAACCTTTTCTGCATGCTTTTTTCAGGAAAAAGAAGAGGTTTGTATTTGGTAATGTGTCTAGCTTCTTATTTGGAGAATATTAAAATGAACAGTTCTTCAATGTAAATCCAAGATTCATAGGTCTTTGTCACTTTATGTCTATTTTAAGTATCTTTCTGTCATATGTTTATCATATTTACTTTCTTTATCCCTTTCAAATTGATTGCAGAAAAACAAATCTAAATATAGCATGATTGTTAATCTGTTTTTCTTTTGCAAATATGTCCTCTAGATAACCTAATGTTCCCAGTCTTTTTGATGCTCTGATATCCTTACTAAAAGCACAAAGGCATTAAGATTTCCAATCATTCTGTGCTGTAAGTTATAATGAAAATTTAGCATAGATATAATATGAACTCACGATAGAGCATTGCATTTTTTGGTAAGCACAGCTGTCAAAAAGCTATTTTAATCTATAACTTTTCTATATTTTCTAGTTAGCCAGGGGACATTTATATTTATTGGTAGCTTGATGGGTCTATCTGATTAATGTATAATATGAAAAATGGACTTTGTATATTCTTTGTTAAAAAATTATGAAAATTTTGGTCACAAGCTTAATAGTTTACTTACATTAACAACTCTAGAAATCTGTGGATCAATATCTATCTATTCAGACGTAATCGTCATTGATATTAATTGAGATGTATCTCGGCTAACTATGTAGTCCACTAGATGGACTAGACAAGAAAAATAAACTACAGGAAGGCTAAAACTTCTTTTATTGAAATCGGCTTTAATAACAATCTTGAAAATATTATTCTGCACTTCTTCTTCCTTACAGTTCAGTGCATCAGGAAGGTGACAGTCTGAGCTACTCTAACTGTTATCACTGTTCTGGACTTTGTCCTTCGGCCCCTTTTGCTTATGCACAGTTCCTGCATACCTCTGCCAAGATCATCTTGACTCCAAATTTACATAAACTTTGAAAAGTACAAATATACAGCAGATTTGGATAAAGCAATAATCCAGCCTGCTTTTCCAGATTAGATTATTGCTTAATCTAAACTGTACTAGTTGCACTAAACCAGATGTGGGGGAACTATGACCCCTTTATGACCTGTGGACTTCAATTCCCAGAATTCCTGAGCCAGTGTAGTTGGCTCATGAATTCTGGGAATTGAAGTCCACAAGTCATAAAAGGACCATAGTTCCTCATCCCTGCACTAAATGGATGAGTTCTGATTGAAAAAAGTGGTCCCGAACAGCAATCTTATACAGGTAGTGCTCATTCAGCAATAGTCTGAAGTTATAGTGGTGATGAAAAAGAAACATTACAACCAGTAGTCACATTTATAGCTTTTGCAGGTGTGTAAAGCAAAAGAAAGCTGAAATAGGATCATAAGTGCAGTTGTGGTTTCACTTAGTTAGTGACCATTTCACTTAACAACTGACTTGCCAGTGCCAGTTGGGACTGATATAACAAGGACTACCTGTACATGGAAACACATTATCAGTATTGTTTACAGAAGCTTTTGAAAACAGAAATTTCTGTTGTAATTAATTGGCTACCAACATAACAATCTTCGATCTTATTTCCATTTTACTAAAGTTACAAAATTAATCTGTTTGATTCTATAACCAAAATCTTTAGTACAAACTATAAGGAAAAAAATAAATACACACAAGGCAGATCATGTGGGTTCCTCAAAGCTTCCTTTAATTACATTTAATGTAATGCTGTGCCAAAACAGGGCTTGCAATTTTTCAAAGTAGTGTTTCTGTGCAAAAGAAGATTCTATATTTCTTATTTACAGGATACCTAAGAATTTCAAAATTCTCTTTAGATGTTTTCTGTTCAAGATGGTGTAGAGCAGTGGTTCTCAACCTGTGGGTCGGGACCCCATTTGGGGTCAAATGACCATTTCACAGGGGTCACCAAACCATGCTGTCCGCCATTTTTTTCCCTTTTCCCTAGCTGTCCTACTCCCTCTTATTGGTGGCCACACCCACCTGGGGGTCACCACAACATGGGGAACTGTATTATGGGGTCACGGCATTAGAAAGGTTGAGAATCACTGGTGTAGAGACAGCTATTCCTACTTATTGTTTCCTGTTATATATCTTTCCATCACAGTTTTCTGCTGACATACTTCTTGTCTAAAGAAATACATGGGAAGAGTTCCCACAGGAGTTGATTGAAGTTTGAGATTCCAAGAAGCTGAAGATATTGTTCAAAGGTAAATATTCATATACAGCACATAACAGCATTATAAGAGTATGAGAACATCACACTTTAACTGAGGACATTAATTGAATTTCTTGTCCTTTAAAGAAATCAAGAAAACAATTTCTTTTTAAGCAAAACAAATGTAATTGATAATGAAACATGTAGATTTTTTTTTTTTTTTGATAAAAGCACCGCCAGCAATTTAAAGAACAGCATGCTTAGGATTGCTTAGAACTTCTTGAACCTTGATACAGACTTCATAAAAGTGCACTTAAAATAGTGAATGCATACGTAACACTTCAAGGATATTCAAGAACTTTAACCCATCAAGTGCTGTAAGCAATGAAATGAGCTTACAATTAAAAAAATAAGATATATAAGTAGTATTCAACATATGATGATTGCAACTAGAATTTGGGTTGCTAAGCAATACAATCATTAAATGTCATCATGTGACCAGACCTGACTTTATGACCATTTTTACTATGATTGTTAAACAAATCATCACAGCAATTAAGCAAATCTGGCTTCTCCAGTTGATCACATGTTGGAAACCGGCTGGGAAGGTCTCAAATCATGATCACGTATCTGCGAGACACTGCAACTATTGTATATGTGAACCAATTGCCAAGCACCCAAACTGCAATCACATGACCATAGGAGTGATGCAACAGTCATAACTTCAAAAACAGGTCATAAGTCTTTTTCTGAAGCCGTCATAACTTCAAATCATTAAACAAGCAGTCATAAGGACTACCTGTAATTCAATTATGGCAAAAGAAATTCACACTAACAAACTGCAGAGAAGAGGATCAAAGAAACTAAAACTTGAAAATCAGAACTAAGCACATTTCATCCCTCCTTGATCAGTTATAAAAAAGTTGTAGATTCTAGGGTCAGGTGTAATATAGCATCACAATACTTACATGCTAAACTCACTGGGGATAATTCCAGAATATCCCATCTTTGAACAATACATTTTGCATATCCATACACAATAACATTAAATGATTAGTCACCCTACTAAGTGATGAACCAGGCCACAATGTCATATCGGTTTTATTTGCAAAGGAAGCACACAAAGTTCAAAAACATTTTTGTAAAAGGATGAGGGGGAGAGAAGAGCTCGTACTTGGCTTATTAATATTCCAGCTTTTATTTTTTTTAGTTTTTAAAACAAAACATAACACACATACAGACACAGTGTATACTCCTTTTTTTTAACAGCTATTTCATAACGGTAATTTTCTATTATTTACATCCCCCCCTATTCTTCTTTAGATATATTTGTCCTTGTTGTCCCGTTGTTTCTTGTTTACATTTTTCTTCCTTCATACTATACCTCATACTAAAAATAATACATATTATTATTACTATACATTATTATACACACATTTTCTACTTTTGACCTTTCCACATTTATTCTCCTCTATTATTTCTAGTCTCCAACCAGTCATACCACTTGTTCCATATTAGATAGTACTCTGTCTTCCTTTTCTTTTATCTCTTTTCTTAATTTGTCCATCTTAGCACAGTCCAGGACTTTTCTTATCACTTCTTCCTCTAATGGTATATTCTCATTTTTCCAGAACTGTGCATATGCTATTCTTGATGCCGTTGTTATATGTAGAATTAAGAACCGTATTTCTTTACTATATTTTCTGTTTAAAATACCCAGCAGACAGATCTCTGGTTTCCAGTCTACGGGTTGGTCTATTATTTCTTCCACCTATCTTCTTATTTTAGTCCAGTATTTTTTCACAACTGGGCATGTCCACCATAAATGATATTTTCCATGTACTTTTTTTACATTTCCAACATGTTGGCAAATTGTTCTGGAACATCTTGGCAAGCTTTGCTGATGGAAGATGCCATCTGTAAAACATCTTCAACTGGTTTTCCTTGAATGCCGCTGACATAGTCAATTTTATGTTTATTTCCCATATTTTTTCCCATTTCTCCAATTCTATATTATATCCAAAAAATTTTTCCCATCTAATCATTGTGTCTTTGACAACTTCATCTTCCATTTTATATCTCAATAGGTATTTGTATAAACTGCTAATTAATTTTATTTCTGTTCCATGTATAATTTTATCCAATTCTTGCAGCTTTTTGTATTTCATATAATTTTTTGTCCTCTGTATATTTGGATTGAATTTGTGTAAATGTCCACCAATAAATCTCTCTGCCTATATCTTGTTCCAATTCTTGTTTTGTTTTCAGATTTCCCTATTCGTTTACTAATTCCTTGTATCTAATTATCTTATTTATATCCAGTAGGTTTGGGTATTTCAGAGCTTCTGTTGGGAATAACAACATTGGAATTCTTATATAATGTTTTTGTTTTATTTTTTTCCCAAGTCTGTAGCAATGCATTCCTAACAATGTGTCTTTGAAAGTATCTATGTATTTTATATTTTTGTCCCATAGGAATGCATGCCACCCCGCTTGCAAGTCATGTCATTCTATTGTTAAAATTCTGGTATTTTTCAATTCCAACCATTCTTTTAGCCAAGTTAGGCTCGATGCTTGGTAGTATATTTCCCACTTTGAATATTCCAGCTTTAGATGTTAGATGTATTCAGTAGAATGAAAAGCTACAGAATGTCAAGAGCAGTATCCATGGGTGCCACATTTACTAAGCCTGTGTTTTCCAAGAATGAGATGATAGATTTGAAGTTCAACATTAATTAGAACACCACTGAAATAATGACGATTTTGATGTAATTTAGATAAAATCTACCTCTTGGTTTAAAAAGACAAAATTTCAGCTTTTATGACAATTTAGATGACATAATCATACTGAAATTAAGCTTTATTTTCTAATTATGCACCAGATTAAACTTATTATTTAAAACAGAATTTGATTTAATGTTACATATTAATGTCTATTATTTTCAAATCAGTTTTGTAAGAACCTTCAGCATAAATTCACCCCTGATGCATCACACTGTCCTCCCAGAATCTGGATAGCCCCCCCCAAACATTTGGGCTTTCATAAGGTATTAAAGATCTGGATGTTCCCTCAAATATTTGAACCAGGTTAAACCAGCCCTTTTGGTGGAGTTCCTCTCCCAGTTTTTGGTCTACACTGTTGGAAAATGAGTAGATTTTTAGATTCAGAATGTATGTTATACTAGTATTACTGTTATTTCTGATTAGTTCTCAGGATGTTTATGTTGCATATGAAATTGCTGTTTTTTATTTATTTAAACCTCTGTATACCAGTCACAACTGTGGCATAGGCAGCTATGTAAATAAATAAATCTAAACTATTTTTTCTGTTCTGACAACAATCTTATAGCTTATTCTTAAGAACAAACATCACTATTTGAAACATTTTATTGAAAATATTAATCTTTCATAACTGATTAAAATGTATTATAATCTATTCATAGTAAATGCATTGAAATAAAATTTTTATGTAAAGACAAAGAAGAAAAAAAGTTGAAGGGCAAACAATGAACAATGGTATCCAAGTTTACATAGGTGTGTTATGAGGGAACAACTAAGATAAGAAAAAGACTACGTATTGTTCAGATATTAACTCTGAAATGTTCTAGTATTAGATAAAATGCAACAAATAAGGAACAGAAAATAGCAGAAATACAAAGTGGGATACAAGAAAGAATGTTCAAATATCTAACACAAAAGAATTTGTAATCACAAAATGCCACTTGATCATAACCCTCCTAAAATATCTCTTACAGAAGAGCAGGATAGCACACACAGTTTGAGAAGATTAACACCAGATAGTCCAGTGTAGATGAATAGCTCAGCATCCTGGGATAATCTTCATTCCTAGACCGTTTTCAGCCCATTGAAAGAAGTCACACTGTTTATCCTTCCCAAGAGGACACACAAAGAAATTCTTTCCATTATTAGGGCCAATCTTCAGCACCGTCCTCATAATGCAGCGCTTCCCATGATTGCAGAAAGGAAAATGCAGGTCTGCCCACTGCAGAGAGAAATCATTTTCTGTTAACACCAGATGCTGAAGCCAAATTCCTGTTTTAGATGGGAAGCAACAAACTCCCCTTTAATTCTGCAAGGTAGGTGGTGACTAACAGCAATCAAGTTAAGCAACTTTCTCTAAAATTCAGTTTGCTCCACTAGCTGAACTTTACTTGTTTGACTTTGTGGGAGGACAGTTATAAAAAAGTCTTATCTGACTTTTGGAGGAAACACAGATTTAATTTATCCAAGTAAAACTCTTGATAGCTTATGACTTCAAAGCAATAGATCTCACTTCCCCAAACTCTAATGTCTCTCTCCCTTGGAAAATCTGAAGGTCAAAATTACACTGCATTGCATTAGTTACCATATGGTGGAACAGAATCTATTATCAAAGCTGAACGGAAGAGAACAAATACAAGAAAAACACCAGCACTCATTTTATGTTGTCAAGGTCATTAGAGAAAATATGAACTCAGATTCAGTTGTGCTGTTTTATTTCATTAATTTTGCCCCAGAATCTTTGCACACTTGATTAAGCATCCTTACACTAGAATTGTGTCTCCTTTGAAGGTTCTTGCTTTATGTTGCCTAACAGTGTTATTCCTTCTAGCTCATAAAAGATTAAAGGAAGTATGAACATATGAGTTTGATTCACTCACACTGAGTTTGAATCATTTTGATTATGGTAAATGTATTCATAGTGTTTGCCTAATGCTGTAAGTTTCATTGTTTTTTTTCTCCTTGTCTTTGCTTACTGTACTATTATTAAGTTACTACCTGACAATAGTAATCTAAAAAGCACCTAAAAAGAAGGAAGAAAACATAGCAATAGGTTTAGATGAAATGTTCAGAATAAACTAGCTAGGCAAGAAAGAAAGTTAAATTTGCTTAGAGCACGGGTGTCAAACTTGCAACGTCACGTGACGTGTCACGACATATTGTGACTTTTTTCCCATTGCCAGCAATGGGATAGGTACGGTTTTGGCGTGACACATCTGGCTCATGGGCCGGCAGTTTGACACCCTGACTTAGAGGATAGTGTACATCAACAGAATAAAGTCACAAAGTCACTTGTTTTTAGAACTTCAATTGTTTTTAAAAGAATATAAAATGAAATGCTATAATTATTTTCAAAAGTCCCCTTTTAATCACTCAAATACAACTGGGAGGTACATTGGTAAGGAAGAAACCCAAGATAGAAATAGGATAATTAAAATAATAAAATATTGTTATAAAGAACAGTATTATTTTTAACCTTAGTGTAAACAACTAACTCAAAGTCTAACAGTCTCATTGCTTATATATATAATTCAGTAGAGGGCAGAGAACCCATTTATTCTTCCCAAAATGCACTGAGAACTTCTTTAGACAAAGCTATCATCACAGCAATTCATTTTCCACTATGTTAAAATTAAAGAAAGAGTGAAATTTATAAGTAATCACAGTGGTTTGAGAAACCAATTTATCTTTTTCAAGGGTGTATGGTACTATACAAGCTTGCATACTTCAAAATAGTTACACCGGGCTTCTCTTGGCAAAGGACAAGTATAAAATGGCCTGCCCTTGTTTTCTCCGTCTTTCCTCACGATGCGAAGAACACAGAAGCGACTGTGTTTACTGCAGCGAGGACTGCCAGCATTTAATGTGCAAAAGCCATCTGTCATATTATCTGGAGGTGCTCTGTAATGACAGGTAATAAGATAAAAACCTGCATAAAATTAAGATTAGTTACAGCAAAACCAGCATCTTCAGTCTCAATACCATAGCTCCAAAGTCCATATAAACTCTTCTGCTTAAATGATACATCTGATCAAAGAGAGCACCTAGCAATTTTATCTGCTTTACTTTCTCTTTAAAATGAAATTGAAGGGCTCCATGTCAAAAATCCATTCTATTGAAATGAAATGGAAGCAGCACATTTTTTTAAAGTTCTCTTGCTGCTTTTTTAAAAAAACGTAAACTGCACCGTTCTGGCATTGCTAGCATAAATTTTGTACTTTCATGTAGTTTAAAAGGCATCCTGAATTGGCAACAGCAAGATGTACTAGAAAACCAATTCATTCCAATTATATTCTTCCCCTCTGGAAAGTTATTACACGTGTCTTAGACCAGACCATGGGGATATCTATCTACTTGTCTGCTTCAAGACAATTTTCCATGCTCTTTGATCAAAGCTACTTTAATGATCCCCATCATATACCACAGAGGAAGAAGTCTGACTGGCAGAGCAGAAAAGTGTATTTTATGAAGGTGATAGGAAAGTTTGCTCTCCTCTGATGTTAGCATCACCAGAATAGCTGGATAGCATCTGTTTACAATGCACAAAGGCATCTGCCTTGACTGTTAATGTTTAAACAAGTAATAGTAATAGTAGTAAAGTTGGAAGGGACCTTGGAGGTCATCTAGTCCAACCCCCTGCTCGGGCAGGAAACCCTACACCATTTCGGACAAATGGCTGTCCAGTCTCTTCTTAAAAACTTCCAGTGTTGGAGCATTTACTGCTTCTGGAGGCAAGCTGTTCCACTGATTAATTGTTCTCAATGTCAGGAAGTTTCTCCTTAGTTCTAGGTTGCTTCTCTCCTTGATTAGTTTCCACCCGTTGCTTCTTGTCCTGCCTTCAGGTGCTTTGGAAAATAGCTTAATTCCCTCTTCTTTATGGCAGCCCCTGAGATATTGGAATACTGTATCATGTCCCCCCTTGTCCTTCTCTTCGTTAAACTAGACATACCCAATTCTAGCAACCGTTCCTTATATGTTTTAGCCTCCAGTCCCCTAATCATCTTTGTTGCTCTTCTCTGTACTCTTTCTAGAGTCTCAACATCTTCTTTACATCGTGGTGACCAAAACTGGATGCAGTATTCCAAGTGTGGCCTTACCAAGGCATTGAAGAGTGGTATTAATACTTCACGTGATCTTGATTCTATCCCTCTGTTAATGCAGCTTAGCACTGTGTTGGCCTTTTTGGCAGCTGCAGCACACTGCTGGCTCATATTTAGGTGATTGTCTACTAGGACTCCGAGGTCCCTCTCACAGTTACTACTATTGAGCATGGTGCCACCTATGCTGTACTTGTGCATTTGGTTTTTCTTGCCTAAATGTAGAACCTTGCTTTTTTCACCATTGAATTTCATTTTGTTAGTTAGTGCCCAGTGTTCAAGTCTGTCAGATCCTTCTGTATCTTAAGCCTGTCTTCTGGAGTGTTGGCTATTCCTGCCAGCTTGGTGTCATCTGCAAATTTGATGAGTTCCCCATCTATCCCTTCATCCAAATCGTTGATGAAGATGTTGAAGAGTACTGGGCCCAGAACAGAGCCCTGGGGCACCCCACTACACACTTCCCTCCATATAGATGCAGTTCCATTGAGGACCACTCGCTGAGTACGGCCGGTCAGCCAGCTACGGATCCATCTGGTGGTGGTTCTGTCTACCCCACATTTTTCTATCTTGTCAAGTAGTAGGTTGTGATCTACTTTATCAAATGCCTTACTGAAGTCCAAGTAAATTATGTCCACAGCATTCCTCTGATCCACTAATTTTGTCACTTGGTCAAAGAATGCAATAAGATTTGTCTGGCATGATCTATTTTTGACAAACCCATGTTGGCTTTTAGTAATGACTTTGTTTGCCTCTAGGTGTTCGTTGATTCGTTGTTTGATTATCTTTTCCAGGATCTTCCCAGGTATTGAGGTCAGGCTGATAGGTCTGTAATTTCCTGGATCCATTTTTTTTCCTTTTTTGAGGATGGGAAGGTTAGATTGCTTCTTGTTTCTTAGGTTTAGCAGCAGCCAGGGGTTTTGGCAAGTATGTTACTAGTTAAGCTCAAAGGCATTAGATAATTTCACTCTAGGGTTCATTAATATGTAAGCAGCATTTCTCCCCAGCATTACTGTGACCTGATGGTTTTTTATGTAGTTTTCTCTCTAGACCCAGCTGGCTGAAGCTTCTTGAATGCAGCCTGTATGCCATTAGAAGGCCTACAGTATATATTGTTAACAAATGCTGTAAAATGCAGCCCCCAATCATACTATGGCATCTAGCAGCTATCTCTTATAAGGCTGCCTCTAATAATGGTAGTAGCATAAAGTACAATTATTATTATTTTACTGTAGCTCTTTTATCTTTCATCATTCTTAGGAAACTGAAGCTCACACTAAACAGCTGAGTTTTGCATTCTCCCATCTCTCATCTGCGGTGATACCATTAAGGACTGATTCATCTGTCCATTTCCCAACATGATTTATACTACCTGGCAACATCGTCCTTCTGCCATTTACATATGGCCAGACAGGTCAGTGAGACTTAACAAGAAATGGACACAAACCCACAGATTAAAAACGTTCATACTCAGAAACCAAATACTCCAACCCTAACTTAATGTTCTGTACAAGATTTAAAGGTCACCATACCTAACCAAATAATATTTCAGAAGCAACCTTTTTCTATTCCATGGGAACACTACTGAACCAAAATATGAGCAAATTTTATGCTATAGAACTTGGGAGGGAACTTGGAACCTTTTTTAGATATCTTGTGAAAGCTACAACAGTGCAATCAATGCTTGCCCTGTTCACCCAGATTCTCAACTTTGCATGAATAACAAGAATTCTACTGATGTTGCCTGTGTAAAATGTCCCTACTTTCCTTGACATTCAGGAATCTGAGGGGAAATTGCACAGCTGGAGACCAGCTGTGAACAGATTCACGAGCTGTCTAGAATATTCCTCTATGGAACCATGTAGAGGTTCCTCTAGTTTCTCTTTCTCCAAGAGGGACCAAGTTATCTTAAATAAGGCTGTTGGCCAACAGTATGCAGATACAAAAGTTATGCATTTGCTGTACGAGAATATTTATTATTGGAAACCTGAAAATTTCAATTTGTTTAGATTAAACAGGTTATAGAAATGCATTTTTAAAAATACTATTTTATTCCAAGGGTTCTTGTCCAGCATTTCCTGTCAGTTTGCCAGAACTATTCTACATTTTAAGAAGGAGGTAAGGCTACAACTCCTCTTTTTCCTTCCATTATGCCTACCAACTCTGTTCTCCCTTACTGCTTCTTTATTAAGTGATTGGTGACTGCAGATTTCAAATATTTTTCAAATGTTTTTGTTTTACAAGTACATCCCAGATATATACTGTATATACTTTAAACTTTCTGCATCATTTTTAATCATTTCTTTGAATCTAATAAGCTGCCTCGAACACAAGCCTACAGAGCTGTAGGATACAGCTACAAAGTTGTTTCATGAACCGGTATCTGCCAAAATATAAGTAATATTGCATGTTTCAAAGAAAAAATATAATACAAACAAATAGTTTTTCATATGAACAATTTTACCCAATATGTAATTGAACTTAACAAACCTGTTTACAACTTTCTCAGTAAGGCTTCCAACAGATGAGGTTGAACAATCAATTTTCTGCTTCTTTGATGCTGGCTTTAAAGAATTATGTTGATAGGGAAAAGGTATTGATGAATTTACTTCATAAGGGTTGGTACTGTTAAAATTGTTTCTCAAAGGATCATGCAGAGAGCCTCCATCTGGAGTTTGACTTTCACTTCTGTTATGTTCCAGTAGAATGTCTTTACCAGCAAAATCTGTCAGTACTAGAGTTGCTGTCCCAAATACCGTCTTCCTATTTATCTTAATTTCCACTCTTGATTTTCCAAAGTTGTTACATGGATATTTGACTAAGGAACCATTATCTGTTGTTAAACCTCCATTTTTTCCTATTTTTTAAAGATAAAAATATCCTAGTTAGTATTAATAAATCAATTGTTTCCATGTCTCCCTAAATTGTGTTACTCCAGCAATAATATGCTACATAGTGCTTCAATTTATGATCCTGATAGTCCAAGTAATCTACTGTAGCAATACAGAAATAGTTATAGTCATAATTCTGCGTAGAAATGCTTATTCCCATTTATATGAAGATATGTATTAAAGAAGAGCAGTCCACTATTATGGTCATGAACATCCCAATAGACATTAAGTGAATTGAAGGCATGAGAAATGATATTAATCTTAGTAGCAGGTTTTTTTGGTCTTTTCTTGTACAAAGCTGAATTTAACAACTGCTAATCAACTAAGAAGCAAAGGGAAAGCAAGATAAATGTTTGTAAGAATAAAGGTAAGATATATTAATTATAAGCACTGAGCAAAGTGTTTTGACATGCAATATCTTAAAATATACTGAATGCTATTTAGTGGGGGTGGGGAAGGGGATAAAGTTCCTTTATTGAAACACTGTAAAGAAGTCTTCAAATGGCAGGCACTCAATTGGAATGCAAGAATGAAAAGAGCATTATTGTGATTTTGTTCTAAAGCCCTAAGCTGTAGTGCCTTTGTTGCATAGTGTTTGCTTCAGCTTCTAGATCACCAGCTGGGCACATAAATTATAGAGGATAATTTAATTGATGAATTTGGTTTTCTGAAGGGATTAAAACCTTTAGATTCCTGAGGCTGGCTAAAGAATGAACTAAGAAAGGATAATCAAGAACTTACTTTGCAGCTGATACAAATACAAAATGGATAAGTCCTTAAGGCTCTTACTCCCAACACTGAATTAACTACAAAAAGACTGAATCAGCATTTTTTTCTCATGCCAGTCATTGGATTTTATAAATTCAGTTGTGAATGCCTTCTGTAATATCTTTAAGTATTACATATGTAAATCAGAAGCATTTTTACTACATTTTTAAATGGATTCTATGAAATAATTTTAATTTAATAATTTTACCAGTAATAACATATTACATTGTTGTTTTTATGCAACAGCTTAAATCAGGGATAATTGAGTGGGCTGCTGGGGCACATTTAGAATACCAAAAGTATGTCAGAAGACAACCTATTCATCAGACACCTACCATTCACAAACTCCTTTTGGTTCATAGGCAAATAGTGAAGCCATTCCTCGTGATTGACTCCCAATGCTTCACATTATCTAGAGCAAGGATGTCAAACTCACAACGTCACGTGACGTGTCACGATGTATCGTGACTTTTTTCCCATTGCCGGCAATGGGGTGGGCGCAGTTTTGCCATGCCAGTTTTGCCATTCGGCCTGCAGGCCGGCAGTTTGACACCCCTGATCAGAGACATGAAGCTATTTGAGTCTATAGCAGAAAAAAAATACTTAGGTGTTTGGCTTGCACCTGCCAATTCCGTAAGGACCGTTTTGAAAGAATCTGCATTTTTTTCCTGCTTTATTTGCAGACATGGAAAAATACATGTTTAAGTTAAAGAAGGCAATAACAGGAAGAGACAAAATCATTGTACCCTGAGGTCATTTCCTAAATATCTCCTTAATTCCAACACATATTTCCATGGGACTATCTGGCTGCTTTGCAAACCCAGGAAAAGACATACCTTCCTTGAAAAAATATTGACAAGTACATCAAGTGTGCCCAGAGCACTTCCAAAGATCTTTTTCTTTTCATGGGTCTACATTACCTATGTATACCATCCAACATGACCTTTCTGATTATCCACTATTCTATTAAAAAATGCCAATACAGTATGAGGTCAAGAGTTCTTCTTTAAGATAAAAATGCTAGACTATATGTGCTTCACAGCATGCCAACTTTTTATTTATAATTTATAATTTTCAAATAATTTTTTAATCTAACTTAGGGGTTTCTTGGAAGAGATTTCTGATGAGGAATTTGTGATGGACTGATGACCACAAACACAAAATTGCTTATTCCTTATCAAATGCTTTCCCAACAGCATTCATCATTAGAAGCATTCTTCTTGAGGCCCACAAACTACTTCAGCACTACTAAGGCAGAAAGAAAGTCACCTATAGTAGTAAGAAAAAGCTGGAAAGAATCTAATTGGAAATACACGAATAAAAAAGGTAACATGTTTTAAACAAAGGATCTTAAAGTAAATGACTTGGCATTTAAAACTTTGGAAAGAAAAGAATAAGCTAAAAAAAAAAAAGCTAAAGGAAAAAACTCATAGAAGAAAGTAGACGAAGCAAAATCAGAGTAAAAAAGGAGTGCGTGCTTTGAAGATTAGAAGCTTAAGACTATTGCTGAATACTGCCCCAGGTAGTGGAAGGCAATATTGAACACAGCTATTGCGAAGAGAGTGGGATATACTACAAATGGCAGTCTGAACATATCTCCACTGAGAATCTCAATGCTTCAGAATCTCTGTGCTCCAGAATCTTAAGCATTTTATGGATTGAAATTTAGAATCTCAAATATTTTATTGCTAGGTTTAAACATTTCTCAGTGCGCAGACTCTAGTATCCGGGAAATATCAATAAAGTGAAATACAGCAATGGCCCCTTCTAGCTATAAAAGGAAATATTTTCTCCCTGCAAATGTATTCCTTTTCAAATGTATGAAACATTTGGTTTGGCAATTCAGGAAGTGCTGAGACCCACAAAAAGTACAGAAGGTTCAACTCAATAATTCATTCAGCAGAGGATCATAGAACGGCTGTGAAAGTATAGATTTGAGTTATAAAAATAACATTCAATTTTAACGCAAACAATTGTTCCCTAAAGTGCCTGGGTTTATAATTCAGATTTTAAGCACAAGTCTCAGCTCACGATTTCTTATTTTTCCCCATCATGGTTTGTTTCAAAGAGAATTTCTTCTAAATTTTCTTCCTTTCTCAAGAGACAGGATTATATCCCTATGCTGCTCTTTTACAAGATCCATAAGAAGACATTTGCCATTTTATTGTTAATTAAAATTAACAATACGAACTTCATGTTGCTAATGGCATGTAGAATAGCAGTAATGTTGGACCAAAGTTTGTTGTAATAAAAAATGCAAAGTGCAGTACATACATATTAGAAAGCATTTGCAGCAAAAAGAAAATATATATCAACAGTAAATAATATGGAGCTGCACAAACAGCAAATTAATGATATATGTGTCCATTGATACATAATTTCAAACAGAACTATCAGAGAAAACAATATAGAACTGAAACCTTACTATGTTAATTCATATTACACACCTTACGTATGAGAATAAAAGTAATCTTTAGGTTATTGGAGTTGCATTACATAGTGACGCAAATAGGCAATCATAAAGCCTATAATACCTTTGGGCCGTGGAGTCAGGCATGCATCACATATTTTCATAGAAGGCTTGTTTATTAGAGTGCAGAGAATGCAGGCCCACTCTTCTTCTGACTTCTGAGCAGCTTCTCCAGAAGAAGAATCCCTGTTGAATGACCAGCCACTTAAACTACTTCTTCTTGGCTGTCTGCTGTGGGATGAAGGAAGGAGGCCAGATAGATTCAGTTGGTTGAACAACCATATTCAGTGAATGGTCCTTATTGGTTCAATGCTATATATTCAATATGGACGGTGATTAATATTTGTATGTAAGGGTGTAGGTATATACGTATGTTGTATAGGAGAAGACTCCTGCGAGTCCCTTGGACTGCAAGGCATTCAAACCGGTCAGTCCTAGAAGAGATCAACCCCGACTGCTCTTTAGAAGGCCAGATCCTGAAGTTGAAACTCAAATACTTTGCCACCTAATGAGAAGGAAGGACTCACTGGAGAAGGGCCTAATGCTTGGAAAGATTGAGGGCAATAGAAGAAGGGGGCAACAGAGAATGAGATGGCTGGACGGAGTCACTGAAGCAGTAGGTGTGAACTTAAATGGACTACAGAAGATGGTAGAGGACAGAAAGATCTGGAGGAACGTTGTCCATGGGGTCACGATGGGTCGGACACGACTTCGCAATTAACAACAACAATGTATGTTATGTATGTGTATAGTTTTGAGAACAGTAAAAAAAATGACAATAAAGGTTATCTATCCTATCTTATCTAACTTACTTGGAAAGAAATATGCAGCATACTTGAGGTTCTGTCCTGGACCTGGTGATTGTCAATATTTTCATAATTGCTTATATAAGGGATGTCCAACAAATCTGCAGTGACACAAAGCTGGGGGGGATTGCTAACACCTCAGAAACAGACTCAAGGTTCAGAAGGATTTTGATAGCCTTGAACAATGGGCCTTTTCCAGCAAATACAGTTCAGTGGCAAGAAAGGTAGATTTTACTCTATGTTTAACAGCCATTCATAAGAAAAATGGTCTGCTGCTAAGTTCGCCAGCTTAGATGTTCAGTGAAAGGAACTGGACTAGTACTATTCCTCAGAGCTCACTTGATTTTCTTTAAGAAAAAAAATCCAAAAACTTGCATTATCAGAATTACTGATGAATATTTGTGGCTCTATCTTGGCAAATGGCCTACTGCTCTATGGATTATGCACCAGAAACAAATTCCTTGTGTGTCTAATCACACTTGGCCAATAAAAAATTCTCTTCTCTTTCTCTTCTATTCTGTTCCCCAATTGCAATGGTTCAATATAAGCTGCTGTGATTTCACTGGCTGAGCACACATCCCAACTAATATGGAAAGAGAGAGAAGAACAAGGAAAAAAAAAATCCTCTTTAAAATTCAAATATTAAATTGTACTGAAATAATTTGTGAAATACTTCTAAAGGTAATAAGGTCCTTGACATACAACCACTATTGCGCCCAAAATTTATGTTGCTAGGTAAGACAGTTGTTAAGTAGATTTTGCCCCATTTTACAACCTTTCATGCCACTGTTGTTAAGTGAATTGCTGTAGCACAGTTACATGGCTTCCCCATTGACTTTGCTTGTCAGAAGGTCGCAGAAGGTAATCACATGACCCTGGGAGATTGCAATCGTCATAAATATGAGTCAGTTGCCAAGAGTTTGAATTTGGTTCACATGAATATGAAGGTGCTGCAATGGTCATAAGTGTGAAAAAACAGTCATAAGTCACTTTTTAATGTTCCATTGTAACTTTGAATAGTCACTAAGTGAACTACCTGTAAAGACTTACCCCAAATTCCCAGGCTGAGGTTTGTCGTTTTGGCACTGTGAGCAGAAATAGGTCATTCTGTTGTTCTCTCCTAATCGACATACTGTGATTTTTCCACTGCACTGGCGGCAAATGGTGCATTTATACACTCTGTAATGTTTACTTACTGCCAATCTCATCTTGCAACACTGGAATAGACCATTATTATTTATGTGTCTTCAAAAGCCAAAGATGCAGGTCACCTCAAATCATATTTATCTTGCAATGACTGAAAAGAACTTACAAATAAATTGAAAAACCTTCTTTTAAGTGTAATGGACAAAATAAATTATTTATTCTTTTCTTTGCCTTTTAAGGGAAGAGGTTCTCTAGTGATATCTGTCAGCTGCATTAAACTCTTCTAAACATTGTCCAGGAGAAGTTGGATTAAGTAGCATTTCTCCAATCACCAGATTTAATAGAGTACAGCATGTGTAGCCTGCAAAGGTTTTTTAAAAATACGTATCTCTATTCTAATAAAAGTTCAAATATAAAAATCATATTTAAGGGAGTGGAAGTGCAAACTTTCTTCAGAAAGATAATTTTTAATGACCTGGAATATTACATCATAGGATTCTTCTCTCTGGTATCCAGTGACATAGTTCCAAAAAGTCTACTTTCACTATTTTTAATGTGTAAGTTCATACATTTTTTTAGCTCCATATCCTAAAAAAAATTAAACAGGATTGTATTTAACAATGTACAAGGGAGGAAAAATCCTTTTATCAGTTAGTGGAATAATACTGAAAACTTTAAGTAACATTTACTTTAAGGCTGCATATTCAGCTTGTATTTTTTTTTTTTTTGCCAAATTCTTAGAAAAGATTTTTCCCCTACCTTATAAAAGAGAAGTGAGAAATCCCGAGTCATTTTCACCAAATGGCATATTTGCTTATCTGTTAATTGACAAACCTGTAATTTGGAACATTGGTTTTAAAAAGCTATTGTGAAGCCATGGCTCTTTTCTTTATATAACAGTATCTTTCCTTAAAGAGATTTTGATGACTGGATATCTTAACAATACAGGAAACACTGACAATAACAAGCCTACTGGGATTTTAATATAGCAATCATATACAGGAAACTAACTTTTGAATCACTATGTATAGAATTGCTCTATTAATAATATGATTCTTCATTTATGGAATAATTTTTTGCAGCTTTGTTTTAGATATCTACAACATCCATAATGGACTCATGTTTATGAAAAATATAACTGACTTTCTCACATTTCTTTATATTTTAAATTTTTGTTATGAAATTGGTAATCACTGGTTAATGACCATGATTTTGATTTTGAATATAAATTACCTATTGGGATTATCTATGGAAGGTAAGATTTCAATTAATTCCTGATGGAAACATTTTATTTACTATGTAACAGAGCGGTCATTGTGCACGCTACAATTTTCTTTTAGGAGCTCAAGACCTAAATCACTGTAAGCAAAATGTAAAATACAACTGAAAGCAACTAGAAATATTTTACATACTTTAACAATTGGATGCAGACCACTGTCATAAAGTGCTTCATTCTTTATGATATTTCCCACTCCAGGTAGGACTGCCTGATCAAGCAATACATCACATAACATACGACCCTTTTGCTTCTTAATTTCACTTTCTGCTCTTTGGAAGCTAAATTTTGAACAGCAGACATCTAAATCTCCCAGCATTCTAATTTTTTCTTCACATTGAACTGTGTTTCTGTAGGATTAAAAATAAAAATAATTGTCAGATCATAACTGCCCAGAAGGCAAACTCTGCCTAAAATAAAATATCCTATGGGGACTAACCACTTCTCCCCATGGCCTCAGAGAACAGCTGAATGTTATCAGATAATACCTGCATGGGTCTTTGGATGGAAGCCATTCCAGAGGTCAGGTATTGCAACAGTGCAGGCAGGCTTCCCGAGTGCTAATAATACTTATTCTGCCCAACTCCACTGGCCAGGCATAAACAGAGATAGGTGGTTCCTCAATTGTACCATACTATATACCCATCACTGCCTGCAGGACTGCATTCTGGACTAGCTGTAGCTTCCAAGAGGTCTTCATGGGCAACATATGCAAAGCACATTGCAAGAGCCATTGTGAGGTGACTAGGGAATAAGTGTCTGTCTGAAGAATCTTAACACATAGATTTCTGTGGTGTTTCAGCCACAACATCAAGCTGGAGCTATGAATCCAAAATGACTCCATGGGTTCATACCAGGCCCAAGTGGAGAAGTACAAACCAATTCAAGATTAAAGAAAATCCCTGGAAACGGGCACAAATTGCTTCAGCTGCTCAGCATTGGCAGGATTTGGCCGTGTTCACACAGCCTCCAGGCAACCCGGATCAAAATATACAATTAGTTATCATCAGCATACTGATTTAACCTGAGCCCAAACTGACAGATAATTTCACTCTCCTAGTTCTATGAATATGTTAAATAATAAGAAGTAGGTATGACTTCTGGTTTTGATATTGTGGTAAGATGGATGCAGGAAAGCAGGGCTCTGCCTCCTGTGCCCCATCTCTTCCTGCTAGGGGCCTGAAGTTGCCCTGGAGAGGCGACGAAAGAAGAGGGGACCATTGCCGATCGTGGGGAGACGGCGATCGACCTGCTTGATCCAAGGAAGCCCTCAGAACCGACAGGAGAAAGACTGGCTGCACCCACACAGCCAGTCGGAAGATGCTGACCTCCAGAGAAGTATTTAACAAGGGCAAACAACATGTTTGAATCTGGGTGAGATTGTTTTCCTTCCTCTACGATTTTAAAACCTATTTTTGGAAAAAAAAAAAAAAAAAAAAAAACCGATCTGAAAGCAAGGAAACTCCCAGAACTAAAAGTTTTTTTTCCCCTTTTTTCATCCCCTCCCCCAGAATACAAGCGCCAGTTTAAGCTTTCTTGGGGGAAAATAGAGAGACTATAAAATTAATTTGGATACAATAGAAAGAAAAAAAGTTTTGGGGGTTATAATTTCTTTTTTCTTACCTTTCTTGGAGAGTATTGGAGCAAAACTTAAAGAAAAAAAATTTGATTGGAAAATTACAAAATGGATACCTAATGACATCTAGTGGTGAAAAAAAGAACTACACCAAGCTCTATTTATATTTTGTCTGGAGTGAGGGAACTTGGCCTGAAGCCTAGACATAGATAACAGACTAAACTCTTTGTTTCTGAATTTCATAACCTTGCAAATTGCAGCTGAAAAAAGAGAAAAAACTTTTTGGGCTATCTTTTCTGCAGGATGGATTATAACTAAAACTACAAACTAGTTTGAAGCTATCTGGCTTCCTCGGATTATAAATATTGTTTGACCTGTAATTTTATAAACTATTTAGAGACAGACTGAATGGCAAGTAACTATCTAAAGTAAGACATTTTGGATTATAATTTTGGCAGATTGGTAACTTTGCATGTTGGGACAATTGGTTAGAGCTGGAGTCAGAAGATAGAAGTGGATTATAAACTTTTTTCCCTCTCCCCATTTTTTTCTTTTCCTTTTTCCTTTTGTTTTTTCTCTTTTTCTTCTTGTTGTCTGGGGAGCCTATTGGATTATAAACTTTTAGTCTCAGAACTACTTAAGGACAGTGGAAGCTTAACTGTTGGTGATTTTTTTGGGAGAAGGCCCTATGGACTATTAATTTGGAATAGTAGGACCTTGCAGATTATACATTTTGACTGAGCGATAATCTTGGATTTTGGACAACTGCTACGGAATGAGCCTCACAAACAGAAGTGGATTACAATTTTTTCTTCTTCTTTGTTCTCCCTTCTTTTTCAGGGAGTTTATTGGATTATAGAGACTATAGTCAAGAACTATAAGAGTTATTTAAGACAAATGTAAACGATATATTGTGGTATAGAATACAAGATTAATGGTTGGTATAAGGCGGGCATCTGGGAAAAGTATTAGAGTTGATAAAAAAATTTGGGGGTGGAATTAAAAATGGCTAAAATGGGCAAGAAAACACCCTCAGCCCCGTCCTCCACTTCTGCAAGCACTGTGTATCAGAGATCAATCAAATAAATGCTTCAACAAGAAAAATCTAACAATTTTCAGAAGGAGATGCAAGTGGCATTACAAACAATTCAAGAGGCAATCTCCTCCCACAAACAAGATACAAGGAAAAACCATGAGGAGACAAAAGACAACTTTGATAAAATGAATCAAGAAATTCATAACATAAACTCTCAAGTAGAAAGCTTCTGACAGATGGTCACAAAGAATGAAACAAAGAATTCAGAAAATAGAAGAAAATCAGTAGAGACTTATCAGAAGATGGCAGAAATAAAAGATGAAAATCAGAGGTTGATGCAGGCAAATAGAGAACTGGGAGATTCAATGACAGTTTTGGAAATGGAAAAGGCATCTTATTTTTTATGATTTCAAAACATAACGGAGGATAAGGAAGAGGATCTTGCAGATTTGATGATAGAGCTATTGGCTGAAGCACTGGAAATCGGGAAACAGGAAATTGAAGGATAGATAGACCAGATATTTTGAGTCAATTCAAGCTATGCGAGGAGAAATAAAGTCCCTAGAGAAGTACATGTTAGATTCATCAAAAGATCTATAAGAGATGAGATATTGAGAAGAGCAAGAGATGATCCTTTGCATTATAAAGAAAAGGAAAGCAGCTCCCCAAGAGGATAAGAGATTCAAGAAGAGAATACCAATTCCTGACCAGAAAATTAATTTAAAAAGGTGTGATCTTCAGATGGCTGATTCCAGAAGTGAGTTTAATTAATTGGGACATGAAAAGAAACAGATTGGACACCACTCAAGGCAATGAAATTTTATGAGACATACAAAGCATTTTTGGAAAGGGAAAATCCGGAATTTCTTGCAGAGAGAAAAGCAAAAAAACAGGAAGAGATAGCAATAGAAGGAGCAGCTAAACTAAGGGAAGAAGATGGGGCAAAAGCAAGAGAACAAAGACAGAAAAGAACAACTAGGAGAATAAAACCTAAATATAATTGAAGAAGATCGAGAAGGAAAATGGGATTCTTTCAATTAATATAAATGGATTGAACTCTCCCGCAAAAAGGAACATTTTTTTATATGACTACGAAAATTAAAAATGGATATAGTTTGTCTCCAAGAAACACATATTAAAAGACAACATTACAAACTGTTGGAACAACCAAAAATCGGGAAACTTCACTTCTCACTAGTACAACAAAAGAAAAGAGGAATAGCTTTATATATCAAAGAGATAATGAACCCCAAACAAATCTATGCAGATGAAGAGGGAAGAATATTAACGTTGGAAATAATAAATCAAAAACAGATATTAATGGTAGCAATATATACTCCTAATAACAAACACAAAGAATTTTATCAAAAATTACACAAAAATAATTGAATTGGAATATCAAAATATTTGTTTAATGGGAGACATACAAATGCAATAGTAGATGGAACGCTGGACTACAAAAGTAGCAAAACAGGAAAAAAAGGAAGGAAAGAAGTTGGTTTTGACAACTTTAATCATTGTAAAAATGATTAAAGTTGTCAAAACCAAGCTGAACTGAGGCGAAAACAGCCTTGAACTAAAATGGGGGGCAGGTGGAAGGAAATGATTAATTTTTGTTTGTTTTAGCTTCTATCTTCTGGACCCGAAAATGAAAAATGGTCAAGGGAACAAAGATTTAGCAAAGACTTAGGTGTTCTCAGAATAGCAGATCTTTCAATCATAGAATAGTTAAGTTCAAAGATAATACAACAAACAATGGCTTATTAGTAATAAGATTATCTGACTCTTAGATTCTCACAACCTTTCCATTTCTCCTTCTTTGTTGGAACCATGGAGAAATCAGTTTTAGCTCCTGTTTTCAATTAACCATAATACCAAAAGCAGAAATCACATATGTAAATATATAAGCTGCAGTAAATTAAAAATTATTAACCCCATAAAACATGAAAGGATATAAGTGAATGGGACTTACTCCCAAGTATGCTTGCAAGGAACTCAGTAGGAATGATTTCTTAACAAGCATGATCAAGAGCAAGCTGTTAATTATCATATAGGGGACTTAGAGAGACAAAGAAGTAGGGCATGCATTTATAAAGAATGTTTGCCACCTGCTCATTCTTATAATACTCATGCTAAATATTAATAGCTTAAACAAAATTTCTGTTGGGTGATTTTTAGGTGTATTTTTAATCAAACATGGCTTAAAAATCAATTACCCTAACTTTTTTATGAATACAACACTAGAGCTTAATACATACAAACATTTATGACTAAAAGGGGATTGTAACTTATAATAGAGATTGCCAAGTATGAATCACGGGAGTGGCTTTTTGTCATTAAATATACAATTTAAACATGCACTGGGATTTTAAAAACCTCTTTTCTCCATCTAGTCACAATCAATCTATATATAGCAAATGAAGTGAACTACTAGAATTAAGCATATTTTCAGTAGATTTAAGCAAGCTCCCACAGTTGACTTAGAATGGCAATATTTTCCTTCCTGGATGAAAGATATTCCAGTAAAACATATATTGCTTTACCTAAGCTCTACAGCTGCATCGTAGAAACAAATCAAATCAGTAGTAAATTGTATTTCTAAGGCTGTTAGTGTTATACTTCTGTTTTGGCTTGCATCTGGATTTATACGTAAAGAACCATTCATTCCAAAGTGGATCCTAGAAAAGAAAATGTATTTTAAAATATATTTTATTCAAAACCTTTTCTAGCTTTATGACTACTCAAATGCAATGATAATCATAAACAATTCTGGTTGTGATTAATAGCATGCTATAATCATTGGCCTAATTTCATTTGGCCTTCAGCCTAATGCCATCACCATCACCCTTTTTCTTTCTTTCTTTCCTTTTTCTTTTCTTTCTTTCTCTTGTTTTGGTGCCAAAACAAAAGTCCCAGTAATTGCCTGGACCAATTTACTTGGCAAGATTTCAGAAGTAGTTTGCTCTTGTGTTCTTCCTAGAGCTGAGTGATCAGCCCAAGCCTAGACTTCATGCCTAAGGCAGAACTAGAATTCAGGACCTCCTGGTTTCTTGCCTCAGGTGTTAACCATTTCCCCAACTGATCAAAAGCCCTTTACAAATGATAAAGTCAGAATCTAAAAAAAGACCTCTTGTCTTCCCAACTGTGCGCTATTAACTGAGGAAAACAAAAAAACCAAGAAAATGTTAAAAATACTTTTAAAAAGACATGTCTGCTTTTTTTTTAAAGTGGACTGATAGAAGGGAAAGGGAATGTGCCCATTAGGTCCCAAACACCAAAGTACCCTCAATATTGGCATGTGATTCAACAAACCATGCTTGCAAGAATGTGTCTGAAAAGTCACTTCGCGTGAGATGAGTGACTATAAATGTGAGACATAAATAAAAAAGAAATATAATTGTTCTTCGTGTCAATCTTATCTTAGAAATTGTTTGGTTAAAGCTAATTCATATAAATATATACAGTAAGCGTGGGACAGCTAAACTAAACATTTATTTACTGGAAGATTTAAACATACACATATGATTTTAGTGGGGTCTAAAATAACAACAACAACAATAATAGTAATAATAAAGTTGGAAGGGACCTTTCCTGCTCAGGAAGGAAACCCTAAACCATTTCAGACAAATGGCTGTTCGGTCACTTCTTAAAAACTTCCAGTGTTGGAGCATTCACAGCTTCTGGAGGCAGGTTGTTCCACTGATTAATTGTTCTAACTGTCAGGAAGTTTCTCCTTAGTTCTAGGTTGCTTCTCTGTTTGGTTAGTTTCCATCCATTGCTTCTTGTCCTGCCTTCAGGTGCTTTGGAGAAGGGGCATTGTCACCATTTCTCAGCACGGAGAAAGATAATCCACCAATGGGTTTAGACTGTGTTCCTGCCCAATCAGATCAAGTCAGCCAAAGTTGCAACGCCTGTCCTGGGTTAGAGTGTCCCAGTCTCAACGCAGGCGAACTCATGACGGACAGCAAGATGTGTTGGCTCATAAATCTAGCCCTAGGCCTAAGTAACCTGCAAGGGCGGGAGGTAAGACAACCCCCCCTTCTCCAGCACTGGAGATGGATAATCCACCAATGGGACATACCAAATCCTACTGTCCCTGAAGGAGGGGAGCAGGCCGGTCCGGCATGGCACTTTGAGGTACGACCTATTGGAGAACCCTCCTACCGAGGCGAACCTCTCAATCTTGTAATGCCTTATAAAAGGAGATGGTGAAGACCATGGGGCCGCTCTGCAAATGTCCTCAATGGACGCCTGAGTGGCCCAGGCTGCGGAAGTAGCTGCGCTACGGGTTGAGTGGGCCGTTAACCAATGTGGAACTGGCAATGATTCAGCCTGGTATGCCCCCACAATACACACCCTAATCCATCTGCCAATCGTGGAGGAGGACACCTTCCAAACCTTGGAAGAAGGATGGAAGGAGACAAAGAGGGCCTCAGAGTTGCGGAAGGCAGCTGTCCGTGAGATGTAGTAACGGAGCGCTCTGCGGATGAACAGAAGGTGCCACTGCCGTTCCAGGGCATGAGATGGGTGAGGACAGAAATCTGGGAGTACAATTTCTTGAGCCCTGTGGAAAAGAGAACTGAGTGAGACCCGATCTGGGGGAACCCTCCATGGGGCCATTAGAGAGAGATTAACTAGGTCGACGAACCATGGTCTCCGTGGCCAATATGGGGCCACTAGAAGAACCTCCGCCTGCTCCCGAAGAAGCTTGCGGATCACCGCCGGAAGAAGAGGAAGAGGAGGGAAGGCGTAAAGCAGTCCCTCTGGCCATGGGCTCCGAAGAGCATCCGCTCGTTCCGCCTCTGGAGACGGAAAGCGGGAAAAGAATTGCTGGAGATGAGCATTTATCGGGGAGGAAAAAAGGTCTAGAACTGGTAATCTGAAGTGGTGTCAGATCTCCCTGAACATACTTGGGTGCAGGCGCCATTCCAAATGGTTCATCATCGCCTGGCTCAGGAAGTCGGCCTGAGTGTTTGCCTCCCCTGAAATGTGCTCGGCCTTGATGGAGGCCAGGTTGGAGTGCATCGATCAAGAGTGCATGAGATCGGGTGTCCCCTTGCTGGTTCACATGTGCCTTGGCAGCCACGTTGTCTGTGAGGACCAACACGCGATGCTTCACTACTGCGCTGCAAAAGTGGCGCAGGGCCAGGTGTACGGCCCTGAGCTCTAACCAGTTGATATTGTGCCAACGGCCCTGGGCCCACTGTGAGTGAAGGTGCACTCCCCAGCCAAACAGGCTGGCGTCAGTCGTAAGGGTGAGTCGATTGGGCTCCTTGAAGTAAGACCCTTTGAGCATGGCCAACGAGAGCCACCATGTGAGGGATCACAAGACGTTAAGCGGAAGTCTCATCCTTCGATTGGAGGAACTGATGTTCAGTCTCTGGAAGGGGAGCAGGAGCCACTGAAGGTTCCTGGAATGGAGCCTGGCCCAAGGTACAATCGCAATGGCCGAGATCATCTTCCCCAGTAATTGCGAGAGGCTGGCCAATGTCACCGTTCGACCTCTGCACAATTGGAAAATCAACTCCCTGATGCTGTCTCGGCATTCTTGGGATAAATAGACCGGCATTCCACCATGTCTATGATGGCCCCTAGGTGTAATAACCTTGTTGTGGGGACCAAATGGCTCTTGGAGAAGTTCACCGAGAACCTGTGATTCTGGAGCAGCATTATCACCAGTTCAAGATCCGCCTGAGCGGCCTGGATCGATGATGACTGGATTAGAATGTCATCCAGGTAGCACTGGACTCTGGCTGGCACCATTCTGAGGTGAGCTGCTAGAACCGCCAGGATCTTGGTAAAGACTCTCGGAGCCAAGGATAGGCCGAACGAGAGTGCCCTGTACTGATAATGATGTCCGCTGTGGGCGAATCTTAGAAACCGGCGGTGGGTGAGAGAGATGGGGATGTCGAGGTATGCTTCCGTGAGGTCAATAGACGTCAGGAAGTCCCCCCTTCTTATGCTTCCCAAGATGGACTGGAGCATTTGCATCTTGAATTTGTGGTATGCAAGATGATAGTTTAATCCTTTTAGATCCAGGATGGCTCTTCATCCCCGATGCCTTGGGGACAATGAAGAGGATGGAGTAAAATTCCCGACCTCTCTGATCCAATGGCACTGGTTCTATGGCCTGTATGTTTAAGAGGTGACCAATGGCCTCTTGCATTAGTTTTTTTTTGTTGGATTTCTTAGTTGGGGACAAGAAATTAAGCGATTTGGGGGGGGGTTGGAGATGAACTCCAGGGACAGTCCATGCCGCTCGGTGTTTAGGACTCATGCATCTGTGGTGGTGGCTTCCCACTGGCAGGCAAAGAGAGAGAGTCTGCCCCTGATGGGAGGATCCGCCTGAGAGTCACCTGGATTGGTGGAATGGGCAGCCACTCCCACAAAAGGGCCGTTTGCCCTGAAATTGTTGTCTGGGTCTGGAAACTTGTCTGTCAGACTGTCTGTCTTGCCTGATAGGGAAAGAAGGTTGGGCTGGGAGTAGTTGGACCTGGCTCCAGCGCGAAAGGGCTGCCTCCGTGAGTAGGTGTTGGGACGTTTGTCCGACCGTTTAAGGAGGTGATTGAGGACCTTACATTTATCCTTATTTTCAGTGAGGTAAGGATTCAGAGCAACACCAAACAATTTCCCTCCGTGATAAGGGGCTGCTGACAAGTGCCATTTGGACTTGGCGTCAGCGTGCCAGTGTTTCAACCAGAGCATACGGCGACCAGTGACGTTGGATGCCATGGCTCTGGAGAAAAATCTGGCAGCCTGGAGGGTGGCATCGGAAGCATATTCTGTAGCTGCCACCATCTTACTTAGATCTTGATGCGTGCGGATATCATCCGCCGGTATCCTGGCCTGAAGCTGTCTAAGCCAGCGGAGAGCAGACCTGTTAAAAAAGGATGCAGAGGTAGCTGCTCTGATAGCCCACACTGCGGCTTGATGTGTTCTACAGAAAGAGAGCTCACATTTACAGTCCTCAGCCTTGAGGGCCTCAGAAACGTCACCAGGAATGACGGTTGGAGACACAAGGGGTCCTAAAGGTTCATCTACTGCGGGTACCTCCAGAACCACCTCCAGGTCCTGGGCCATGTTATAAAGTCTTTTCTCATTGCTACCTGGAAGGGGAAAAGAGGCTGGGGATACCCATTGCTTTCGGACCGCGTTGAGGAACATGGGAGGGCAAGAAATGCGGTATTGTGTTGTTACTGGTTCGATGAAATTCGGATCCGCCTCCGAGTCTGGAGTGACTGAAGTTGCCGGCGTGAAAGGATCGGGTCCAAGATGTGCCGTGGAAGTGGCCTTACAAAGCAGGGTCACAAAAAAGGCAGGGTTAAAGAGACTGCTAAGTGATAGTGTCTTAGGTGAGGGTTCCTCCTCCTCAGATATCGGAATCTCCAGATCAGCCTCTTATTCACGAGATGACGAGTCCCCAGAGTAAATGGACTGTGAAGGGGAAGAAGGCGCGTGATAGGACTCAGTAGCCGGCTGGTGGGTGGGTAGAAAGGTGACCGCGGGTGACGGGGCGTTTGCGATCTGGCCTCCAGAGCGCGTTCCACCGCCTGTGCAATCATCTCAGCTAGACGGTCCTCTGTGGGGAGGGGGACTGGTTCACTTGGCCTATGCCTGAGCGCAATGGAGGTGAAAGTAGATTCAGGGGCCACGTGTTGAGCCCGTGGAGCAGAGGGCG